AATAGCTGCAGCAGCGCGATTGCTTCTTGCAAGTCCGTTTGCTGCGCTCCACACGTCGTCGTCGTTAGTAGTAGTAGTAGTAGTAGTAGTAGCAGTAGCAGTAGCAGTAGCAGTAGTAGTAGTAGTCGTCGTCGTCGTCGTCGTCGTAGTAGTATTGTTACTTCGACTCTTCTTCTTCTTCTTCGTGTCGTTGTTGTTGGCTCTTGCTGTTGGCTCTTGGCTTGGTGCCTGGCCGTGGGTTGCTGGCGTATCTCATCCCTTTTTGGGCTGGTATGGTAGCCTTTTGATCTACCGTACATCCGTTAAGGAATCACTTAAAGCTGCCATGGGAGCCCAGGTTTCGAGGCCCAGCCCTCCTCGTCCTCGTCCTGGGCCTGGCGAGACGAGGAGCCCAGCCTTCCGCCTTTGCTGCAGGCCTCCGGGGCTTAGGGTGTAGGGTCTAGGTGTTAGGGTTTCGGGTTTAGGGGTTTAGGGTTTAGGGACCCGGGTTCAAAGGCTTTCGAAGGCTCACAAGGAGCTTAAAGCTTTAGCTCGGGCGGTTAAGAAGGTTGAAGAGGATTTAAAGGTTGAAAGCTTTGGAGGGCTTAAAAGGTTTAGAAGTTGAGTGTTGTAGATTTTTGGAAGTTTTGGCCTCTTCAGCTTTCAGACCTTAGCCAAGCTACCAGTCCATGAAGCCCAGAACTCAAAATTCTGAAAGCCAAGCTTGAGAGTTAAAGCAGCGAGATGTGATAGGTCTGGACAGTGTACAGAGCCGGAGGTGCCGTTATCTCCGGAGCATGCGAGTCCTGCAGAGGAGCCTGGACATGTGCCTACAGCTCTTACATTCCAAAGGGATACATGGTTGGTATGCCCGAATGGATTGCCCGCGAAAGCTACCGCTACCAAGCCCTACAATTGTTTGAAAATTCTGATTGTAAACCTAAGCAAGTCAAACAGCTTAAGACCTGGGCAACTTCGAGCCAAGATGACAGCAACCATGCCAACACTTGCTACGCAGCAACACCGGCAAGGAACGTTAATGCCAGTATGGCTTTGAGACCTTAAGGGGCTCACGGCAGAAATCCGACTCTATGTAGGCATGACGAAGTACAAATGCAATTCTGACATTTCAGAATGAAGGATGCAAGTTTCAGTGCTTTGGTTAGCAAGACATTGCAAACAGTCAAGGAGGTGGTCGTTGTCGTCATGGATAAAGGTGCTGTAAATGATTGCCATGGTCATATTGGTATAGGGAAGTGGTGTCGGTCGTTGTCGTTTTCGTAGTAGTCGCATCGTGACATGCAGGATAACCGTTGGTCGTCTCACATTCAGAAACCCACGCACTTTTCGCTTGATGTGTCGGGCACAGGCCCCAACCCGTTGAATCCTCCACCTTGGGGATGAGGACACCGTGGACCACAGCCTCCCGGAGTCTTGGTTCCAAGACCCGGAGGACGCAGAGGTGGCCAGTGCACCTGCAGGCGACGCTTCGGAGGGTGCAGGCCCCTTGGCTTCCGTGGAAGCGGAGAAGAACAGGGACGTGGGTTGCTCGTCGCTAGGGTCGCTAGGCTGGGCATTGAGCTCGCGACGGTTTGGAGCGAGAGCCGCCGCAGTTATCGGTAGGCTGGAAGATACTTGTCTTTTTGTTGCCAGAATCTTGCAGAAAGCCGTCAGTATGCAGGTATTACCCAGTCGAGCTTCCTGCTGAGGCCTCTCCGTGATCTATGTGGAGCCTGTCAGGCCTCTGCCTGCCAAAGGTAACAGCAGTAGGAGAGAAGGAGGAGGGGAGATGGTAGCAGAGACGAGCGCCACATGTTCAGCTGATGATACTGCTCACCCTGGAGTTTGTACCCTAGACCTTGAGCCGTGAACCCTTCAACCCTTCAACCCTCAACCTTGCTCCTGAACCCTCGAGCCTACCTCAAACTCTCAATCCGGAACCCAAGCCCAGAGGCGTTGTGAAAATTCGCACGGAGGTCCGGGATGGAGCCCCGCTTCTGCCGCGAGTGCCATGCTGCCTTCGCCATGGGCGAGCTCCGCTTCCCAGCTTGCAGCAGTCTTGGCTCTCAAGGTTTCAGGACTCTTGTATTAGGTGTTCGGATGCTGCGTCAGTATGGGTTCAGAACAGAGGTGTCTAGGGAAGTGCGGGTGTCATGAGGTAAACGAATCAGGTAGCATCGGTAGTGTATGCACATGTGCGCTTATCTGGTAATCAGGAGTAGCCCTTTCTACTGAACTTGCGGTGCACGCTCAGCCAGATCAGAACTCCAGAATGCACATTCCCAACTTGCACAATCTTCCCGCTCTCGGCTTCGCCTGAACCCAAGATCCAAGATATATGTTTTTCGTTCATGCGAAGAGTCGCAGGAATCAGAAGGGTTTGGAGTGCAGTAATCGTAAGAAGACGGGTCACATTTTTCTGGTTGGTGATGGAGACATTGGTGATAAAAGTAGGAAGCATGCATGAGTCTCATGGCGGAAATGAGGCTGACCATGCTGGTCCGAACATGGCCATCAAAGATGGCACAGCAGGAAAGAACAGCTCGTGTAAGAAGCTAAAACGTCGCAATCCACATGAAAAAGCCAAACAGGTAGCCACGAACAGCAGACTCGTGAAACCAAGAGGAATAGTCGCATAAAGAAGAAGGAACTCAACTGTACCAATGAAGGAGTTCCGTTTTATGACACTGACGCGAGCCTAGAAGACACCACGCAGGTTTGGGCTACACGCCCTGCGGTGTAACGGCCGACGGCCGTCAGTTTCTCCCGGTCTGGGTGCATGCCTTCACCTGCGCCCGGAGGGCACGGCTGGCCATCCGATTTGATGGGGAGACCCTGCCTGCAATGCTTGCAGTTTTGGGTCATCATCATAATAATAATAATACTAATAATAATAATAATCATCGGAATAATAAAAATGAGCCTTGTGTTGTTCGCTGGGTTTCTGCAAAACCCTCGAGTCTCTTCCTCGAAGCGTGCGCATGTGAGCCCCTAGCAAGGCGAGGAGGCAAGCCGAAGCCTCAAGCAACCCTCAACTCCCTTTGGGCCTTACATCCGTAGACCCTTAAAGAATCCTAAACCCATAAAAGCCCCAGAGGACCCCCCAGAAAAAGACCCCCGCAAAACCCTAAGCCACTTTGTGTCTCTGTCTCCGCTGCGCTTCGAGGAGTCGGCCAGCTTCAGCCCGGCCGTGTCCCTTGCGGATCGGAACCGCCTTGTGGAGGAGCTGCGGCAGGCGGCCCAAGCAGTTCGGGTTTAGGGTTGAGGGGTTTAGGGTAAAGGGTTTAGGGTTCAGGATAGGTGAGATAGCCTGTTTGTCGATGGAGGTAGAAGAGGCTTTTTATTTGGGCTTGAAAAGATTCTACAGGGGGTTGTTGACAATAGGGGCTTTCTCGTTTGCTTGGTGCAGTAGGTCAGTAGTTCAGGAAACGTTGCTTAGACGTTTAGAGCCGCTTAAGGGCTTTGGGTCTAAAAATTCCAGGATGCGTGGATTTATAAGTCCATTGTAGTGAGAGCCACTGAGCCACTGGTTGTTTAACCTTAATTTAGGGCAGTTGTATCCCCGACAAGATAGAAGCCACCCGGCTAAGTCCCGCAACCAAGCCAGGACACGTCATCAAGCCCAGCCCGCGTAAGCTCCGCGGCTGTGAGCGTCAACTAACACCTCGTGTCCGTAACCCAAAACCCGAAGCACTTAACCCTGAACCCGAAAGCTTAAACCCTACAATTCAGGGGAAAAAACCCACAGAGTCAGTCTCAGCACTGAGCCCGAAGCCACGAGACCGGAACACTGAGGCCTAGAACCCCAAAGCCGTAAGAGCAAAATAGCAAGGAAAGGCTGAACCTGATCCACACCGAAACCCTACTCCCCAAAACCTGAAGTCGGTCAAAAACCCCAGACCCCCAAACACCTTGGGGTTGTTCCGGGTAGTTTGCAGCCCGTCGCATGCTGAGTGGTACTAGCGAGTTCGGCGGAGAGTGGTGTCCTTACTGATAGCCTACTTGGTCTGCTGCTTTCTTGGCTGTCACTCTCCTTCGCGCGACTTGCCCATATCTTCCGGTGCAGTTTCCCTGCAGCAGTGTGGCCTCGTCAGCGAAGCGGGTGGGAAAAAAGTCCCAAAACCCTAAACCCCTAAATCCCAAACCCTAAACCCCTAAAGCCCTAAAACCCTAAAAGCCTAAAAGCCTAAAAGCCACATGGAAAAGGCCTCTACACTCAAACAAACGAACAACACCTCTCATGGGGCCCGGGATCGTTTGGAGGTCCACCAGTTCTTGGCACTTCAGCATCGCTCCCAGCCCCGCCAGCTCTGCATCCGCCCTTGGCGCCCCTCGGATTTAGGAGGGCTCTATGGGAGGATGCTACAGGGCTCTTGGGGGTAGGGCTTGCAGGGTTTCAGGGAGGGATGTTAGGGATTTGAGGGCTTTAGGGATTGCAAAGGGGTTGTGGGGTTTAGGGTTTAGGGTTGGAAGGATATGTGCCATCGGTTCTTCAGCGCTGGCCGGTGATCCGCTTGCAGCCGGGTGCGCCCGAGAGCGAGTCGCGGCCGGGATGGCGCATACCCTCCCCGCCTCGGAGGACAGCTGGTTTGTTTGTCCTTCAGAAGTAGCAGCCCGACAATCTTGACAAGGCAAAGGGTAAACTGCAGCAGGAGATGCTGATGCTGGTGCTTCCAATGACTAAATAGACAAACTGGCGTCTAGCTTCATTCTTCCATCGTTCGCGGCGTGTTGGGAACAGGTCTAATTCGAGGCTCTCCTGCTTCTCCTTCATGAACCGAACCCCAATGCCTAGCATCTAGATTCAACTAAACTTTAAGCCCCGAAGCCTGAATCGGTCGTGTTACAACATGCGCTGTGCATAGATTTTTGTCTGACATGAACTAGTCGAAGTCTTGTCTCTCGAAAAAGACTGACAGGACATCGCCTCCTCGAGGGGCACCTCGCCGACGAACACCTTCGCCTCCTGCAGGCCAGGTGTCCACAATACTAGCACATTAGTCTGCAGCTTGCGTTTAGTGTCTACTGTAGGGCCGTCAGGGGTTTGGGTGAGCCCTCAACCCTCAACCCTCTTTCACTCCCCGTGTTTCTCGCCATTGCTGCACCGTGCCCGAGTCTTTCAATTCCATTGCGCCCAAGTTGCGGCTAAACCAGCAAAGAACTGAGTACTTCAGGTGTCTCCCGCAGCAAAGCACAAAAGATGTCATAGTGGCGAGGAAAGTCCAACATCATTTGTAAATCCGAGGGAGTTTACATTCACTCTACCCGAATGGAGCCCAGTATATTTGGGCTTTTCCAGAGCCTCTAGATCCCTAGGATTCGCCCCTGAAACGAAGCCCGAAGCCCCTGCGTTTTGATCGGGCCAGGTGTGGTAGAGGCCTGGTCTGAAGATGAGATGCTGGTGGAGAGTGACGCCCAAACGCCGATGGTGCAGCAGGTGCTGGCGCAGCCTCCAAGCGGCCCTAGGAGCGCTCTTTCTGTTTCGCCGGTTGTAGATGCCATGCTTTGGACGAAGAGAGTTATGAAGGCATTTGGTTTTGGGGCCGAAACGCAGAGAGCCTTTGTTTGGAACGGAGGCTCGTCTCCGGCCGCCTGGCCGCTGCCCCAATGCAGTCGCTGGACGACCTGCCGATCATTCCAAACTTTCTAGCCTCCACATTTTCTACGAGTGCCGAGTCCTCCGCCTCTGTGATTACTGCCACGACGCGCCTCCTGGCGGAGGTTCCCGTCTTCAATTCCGAGAAGAAGTGCGAGGAGCCGTGCGTGGTGTGCCGCGATGACATCACGGTGGGCCAGGAATGCCGGCGCCTTCCCTGCATGCACGTCTTCCACAAGGAGTGCATCGATAGATGGATTGCCGTCAAAGCCACCTGTCCGCTTTGCAACCTTAAGCTCGAGGATCTGCTCAGAGAGCAGCATTCCTTGGAGAACGGCGAAGAGCCAACACCGAGCCTCCGTCGCTCCCCTTCCCGCTCAAGGTCTCCTCCCAGGCCTGTATACAGACCCAGCGGCCCACCAAGTGCCCCCCCGGGAGGTCCACGCAGAAGCCGATGGGACCTTGGTCAAAGCGACACCTGGCGCTCCTACCGTTGGGGTCCGCCCGGTGCACGGCCCGTTGCTGGAAGTTGGCCCGCTAATGGCTGGGTCCAAAATCCAATGGGCCAGATGGGTCAGAGAAGCCACCAAAGGCCTTGGTCTGCGATGATGGGGGTACAGGTGCAAAACCAGTCCTTCCAGCAGATCGCAACGCCAGGGCCCATGTCTCAAAGTCAGGGACGGCCCATGCCAGCACCGCCTCCGCCAGCACCCGAAGCAAGACCACCAGCATGGTCTCCTCCCATGATGCCGGTGCCTGTCCCCGTGCCCGTTTTCCAAGCCAGGCCGGTCGTTCCGCCAGGCTTTCTACCGGGCGCCCCACCCATCCCACCGCCGCCTCCACTGGCGCGACCTGTGCTACCGCTGCCCCGATCACGGACGCCTCACGAAATGCGAGGACCTGATCCACAATGGTAGCTTGCCGAGGTAGCTTTGCACTCTACGCCCCTGATCCCCCAAATTCCCCCATGGCCCCATATGTCTCTACCTAGTCGTTCTAGCTGCTAGCTCGCAGATGGCACAGAAGCGCTGGCCGCCACCCGTCAAAAGCCGTACCGCAGGTCTTGTTTGACAGGTGCTTCAATACTTCCTCGCAAGGCCACAAGTCCTGAAGCTTTCAGAGAGGTCGTGCTCATGCCTCCAACCTTCCAGCTTCTGCTGAAGTCAAGCTGCCATCATGCCAGCATGCAAGCTTCCGATAGATGAATTTGGGCCACCAACTTAAAAAATCATGCCCGAGGCCGCAGAATCCTCTAGCTGAGATGTAGCCATCCGTGGTCGTTTGCGTGCTTCCTGTACATGCTTACCGTTCACTTCAACAAGTGGCTGTCACTTCTAAGACGATGTGCTCTTTCCTTCCTTGATGCCCTGAGGATGAAACACCTCCAAGCGTCTGAGGGTGCGTCTAACAGGCAGTATGTGCTGCCGTTTCTCAGCGACCGCCGTCCTTCCAGGCGCAGATGCAGGCACAAGCGCAGCAGGCGGGCTGTGAGGGCCGGGTGCTGCACGTTGTTGACCTCACTGAAGATTCTTCGATCCGATTCCGCAGATTTTGGGCAGGCTGCTGCATCGAAAGTCTTGGGATGCATGGTAGTGAAGCATGCTGAACATATATGCCTCGGGCGCTCTCGCCACAAGGACCCCAACAGGTTGAGATGTCTTCAGTTCGCATGCACCGCGTTTTTTTGAGGGGATCCACAAAAGGGTATGAGCCTTCACACAACACATCTTATCTTCAACAACCCGCACGTGCATTGAGGGGGCCTCTGCCTTCAAGAGCGAGAGGCTTATGGCAACTAGGACAAAATGTTGGGTTTGCATGTTTAGAAATGGTTGGAGTCTGTGGGTGTAGCTGTTGAAGTTTGGTGTCGCGTGTTTGAATGCAACCAATCCTCATTCCCAACTTGTTAAGCTCTGGAAGCATGAACACGATCCAATCCGGCTTGAGCCATCTCAGCCCCTGTGCGATCAACCAGCCGAGCCAGCCAAGGAGTATGGCTGCCAGAAAATTTAAATCCGAGGTGTTACAATGGAAGGATCTGGTGGGCACGTCCCAGTGGAGCTTTCGTGATGGTTTCAGTTGTCATATGTCGGATCAAGAGTCTCGGAACCACCTTCATGCGATGATTGCTGCTGCTACGGCTACTTCTACTTCTACTGCTGCTACTAATACTACTACTACTACTCCTCCTCCTCCTCCTCCTGCTGCTGCTGCTGCTGCTGCTCCTCCTACTACTACTACTACTACTACTACTTCTACTACTACTACTACAACTACAACTACTACTCCTACTCCTACTCCTACTCCTACTCCTACTCCTACTCCTACTCCTACTCCTACTCCTACTCCTACTCCTACTCCTTTCTCCTGCTGCTGCGGCTGCTGCTGCTGCTGCTACCACAAATATTACTACTGCTGCTCCTACTACTGCTAGCTACCATTACCAGCACAAACAAGAGAAACTAAGCTGTACAACCAACTCAAGCGGCAACAACGCAGCTGTGATATACTCAGCTCTTGATACGACCAGCTTTTTCAAGCAGCACGGCCTTGTAAACATCCACGGTGCTAGCGGGAAGCATGGTACTATAAGACGCGCCAATGCCTCCGACTGGGCCGGCTCTACCGGCGCCGCCGGCAGCGCTGGCGCCCCTGGGACTCTAGGAATGGTGAGCCCCCGAAAGGGCCCAAAAGTCCCAGAGTAGTTGGAACAGTTGTTGATATTTTCGTTTTGAGCCGCTAGTTACGACGGCGGCTACTGCGACAGCTCATGATGGCAGTATTCGCACTTTCCGTTTAGCCTTCGTCTTCTCGTGACTGCTCCTTCTTTTGCATCTAGCTGGCTTGTCATACGCTTTTTGCGCTGATAACCCCCACTGCATGACATGGCTGTTGCTGCAGGGTGAACCGGCAGGATCGAGAGAGGAACGGCTTCATCTACATCCTCCTGCTAATCCTCGTTTTTGCATCTCCACCTTGAAGCTCCACAGGGCAAGGCTCGAAACCCGGACTCCCCATCCCGGGCCCTGCAAATCTCGATGGCATGGAGGGAATCCGGGCCCGAGGCGAGAATTCGCCACGCGGAAGGCAAACTTCCTCCGGAAGCCCGACAAAAGTCCCAAGGCCGACTTGGATTTAATCTAAGGGCCTAAAGACTTTAGCTGCTTTAGCTCTTTCATCATACGGTTTCTGGACGATTTCAATGGCTGACAAGGGTAGGGGACTTTCCGCGTGTGCAGGGTCTTCGCAAGGTTTCTTGAGGGCCTATAGGGTTTGCGATTCCTGTTTTCGGTTCGTATGGGTGCTTGTACTCCTTCTATTGGGTGCGTAGGGTGCAGGGCGGAAGCCTCACTTGTCATGTCGAATGCATGGAACCTTTACGCTTCGTTTAACCTTTACCCGAAGCTAAGACACCTAGTTACGGCCCCGATGCTGCAAAGACCACCCGCCACGAGGAACGTTTGCCTTCTCTAGGACTGTGTTTGTGCTCAGTTTTCCGAACCAAAACAAGCCTAAGCCGAAGCTCCAGTGGATATCCCTGCATACCTGTACAAAAAAGAGTCTTACCTACAAAGACCTCATCTAAAGCAACGAGCTCATAGACCGCAACACGAATAGAACATGAACAAATAGAATAGGGTTCTGGGGCATATCATACGGTCAATTATAATAAGGAACGGCCCCCAAAGTAGAATAGGTAGTGAATTATTAATGCCCCTATATTTTATACAAAAAAAGCCGGAAAACCCGACGCCCCACGCGCTTGGTGCCAGGGGGCGTGGGATCCCAGGGTCTCCGAAATCTGCGAGGATCTGAACGGAAGGTGCGCTTGGGGCTCTACCGGGGGTTCCATAAGGGTTCTACAAAAGTTCGTGCCAGGGCCCCCTATTGGGTTGCAAAGGGTTCTCCAGTTTGGCGTCTCAGGGGTTGACAGGTTTTAGGAGTTTCGGGCTCGTATTTGGGGGTGGCTGGAAAGTTTACTTTCTGCTGCTTGGATGTTTTGGGGCCTTTGATCCTGACCCTGGATGACGCTGGCAGGGATGACTTTTTCACCACCTCCTCTTGCTCCGGTCGCTGTTTTCTCTGGAGGGGCAGGCGCGGGTAGGGGTCTTTGTCACACATTGCCCTCGCAGTACCTGCTGGAGTGCAAGGGGCGCATGCAGCACACTGGAATCCACCTAGAAGTCTGCGAATTTTCTCAAAGACTGGCTGCTGCTAACCGGGGCTCCGCCTGCCCGTTTCGTCCCGCTTCGGATTGCCTAGCAGCCTAGCAGAGCTGCAGAGGCATCATCAGAAAGGCCTACGAGGCTCGGACCTCTGGCTTTTGTCGCCAGTTGGTTGTTGTTGTTGTTGTCGTCGTCGTCGTCGTCGTCGTGGTTGTTGTTGTTGTTGTGGTTGTGGTCGTTGTTGTTGTTGTTGTTATTATTATTTTTGGTTAGTACTAATATTCATTATGAGCATCATTGTCATTATGATGATTATTATGGTTAGTACTACTATTTTATGGTTGGTGCTGTTATTGCGGTTGTGGTGGCCCGAGCAACCAAGCGACCCGAGGCTTCCGGCGCCTGCGTGTGAGCCACGATCCGGTGGAGGAAGCAGTCCTGGAACATGCATTATATATGCAAGATGATCAGGGTTTAGGGTTTAGGGTTTTGACGTTGCCCGGCTGAAGAAAGGCAGAGGAGGCAACGCTGGCAGTCATCAAGTCCGGTTTCAAAAAAGGTTTAGGCTTAGGGTTTGGGGGTACGACTGTCACTTCCGCTTTTGTAAGTGGTGTGAGTAGTAGCGTCGTAGGTGTCGTTCTGCATCGTTACTGCCGGTTCCATTATGAATCTCATGCTTACTAGTTGGCAGCACTCACTGTCATTGCTGTCACACTGACAGTTGTGATCATCATGCCCCCTGCGTATCAAGGTAGCTCTTTGTAGCTGAGGGAGCTTGGTCCGATTGCTACTCACGTCTTGCTCTCAGAACCACCTGCCGACAACAGCCTGAACAGGTTTCACGTGTCTTTAAGCTACGTTCTGCAGTGTGAGACACCATTTGGCTGGCCGTTAGCCGAGTCCACCCCCGCCGACAATGGTATCCAGCCCGGGCCAGCCTTGCTGTGCCCCTCAAAACCCATGGAGAGCAGTGTCTCTTTACGGGTCCTGAAAATAAAAAACCTGGTTACGGGAAGGGGTGTACTAATCGTCAACTGCCGTCCAAGCCACCACGAAAGAACACTCGACACACTGCACATCCTGACACGTGGTTCCTCACAAGCGGTTCCTCTTAGAGGCGACACCAGTCCTCCAAGTTGACACGACTGTATTTACAAACGTCCAATGGGCAGCGGTGCCGGTCCACATCTTCCTTTTGCTTCCTGAGTTGCTTAGTGGGATAGATTGTTTTAGGCGCACGGGGACACGTAGAAGCCTGCAAGCCCTACTGTAGACCCGAAGGAGGAGTTCTTCAACCTCAGAGGTCTGGACAAGGAGGATGCCCAGGGGCCCGTTTGGCTCTCGGTGCAGGCACGGAGCTCCGGGAACTCTGGATGGGGATGGTTTAGGCGGGTCTAGGCTGGCAGGTTGATGTGAGCAGTCTTCGCTTTCTTGCTCTCCTATAAGGTGGAGTGCGAGTGGCTAGCTAGGAGCATCAGGGTTACGGGTTGACATGTTTCGATGCTTACTGGTCGTAAGGTCCTTCTGCTCAAGGTGCATACGGCTGAGTGTTTTGCGACTGGCAGCTATCCCAGCATCGGCAGCATTGCGGTGTGGGATGTCCGGTGAGGTCCTGGCACAAAAGGCCCCAAGTTCCCTTCCTACGTCCGAAGCCAAGCACCTTCGGCAAGATACTCAGACCTGTCTCGCGATAGAAAACGAAGCCGGGATGCAGTAGTCTTTCAGCCATTTGAGGTAGAGGCAGTCCGCAT